GGGGGGGTGGAGGATGAGGTCAGGGATGGGGTGCATGAGGACGGAGAAGAGAGAGACTTCAAGAGACAGCCATCCACAGAGAGAGGTAAGGATGGGAGGGACTTTGTAGAAAAGGCAAGGCAGACAGACGGATAGATGCACAGAGGGGGCCAGTGATCCTTTGCTGACCAGCAGAGTAGAAACTCACTGACCTCTCCCCTTGTGTCCTTCTTTCCTTGCAGGTCTACTCACCGGTGACCCCAGTGCCCACCATGGCCCCCCTCAACTCCTACATGACCCTAAACCCTCTGAGCTCTCCCTACCCCCCCGGGGGGCTCCCTGCCTCTCCGCTGCCCTCAGGACCCCTGGCACCCCCAGCCCCCGCGGCACCCCTGGGGCCCACCTTCCCGGGCCTGGGTGCCAGCACTGGTGGAGGCAGCAGCTCAGGGTACGGGGGCCCGGGCCCGGGGCTGGTGCACGGGAAGGAGATGCCAAAAGGCTACCGGAGGCCACTGGCCCATGCCAAGCCGCCATATTCCTACATCTCGCTCATCACCATGGCCATCCAGCAGGCGCCGGGCAAAATGCTGACCCTGAGTGAGATCTACCAGTGGATCATGGACCTCTTCCCTTACTACCGGGAGAACCAGCAGCGCTGGCAGAACTCCATCCGCCACTCCCTGTCTTTCAACGACTGCTTTGTCAAGGTGGCGCGCTCCCCAGACAAGCCAGGCAAGGGCTCCTACTGGGCCCTGCACCCCAGCTCAGGTAACATGTTTGAGAATGGCTGCTACCTGCGCCGCCAGAAGCGCTTCAAGCTGGAGGAGAAGGTGAAGAAGGGGGCTGGGGGGACGTCCACCTCCAGGAACAGTGCAGGGTCTGCTGCCCCGGCCACCACGCCTGCTGCCACGGTCACCTCTCCCCCCCAGCCCCAGCCTCCACCGCCTGAGCCCGAGGCCCAGGGTGGGGAAGACGTGGGGGCTCTGGACTGTGGCTCTCCCCCTTCGTCCACCCCCTACTTCGCTGGCCTGGAGCTCCCAGGGGAGCTGAAGCTGGATGCACCCTACAATTTCAACCACCCCTTCTCCATCAACAACCTGATGTCGGAACAGACACCAGCACCTCCTAAACTGGACGTGGGGTTTGGGGGCTATGGGGCAGAGGGTGGGGAGCCCGGGGTGTACTACCAGGGTGTCTATTCCCGCTCTCTGCTTAACGCATCCTAGCAGGGGCGTGGGAGCGTGGTGGGTGGGGTATGGCTGTAGCTCCCACCATCTGGCCCTTGGGGCCTGACCCACCTGGTGACACTTTGCTTGTCCCGTCAGTTAACATCTTGGCTGGTCTGTTACTGTGGTGACTGCTGTCTCTGTGGGCATCATGTCTATCCTTTGGGTACTGTGATGACTGCCATCGACATGGTGGTGGGCCCGCTGGGTGTTACAAAGACTGCCGTATTGATCGATGTTATAAGTTGATCCATTGGGTGCTCTGATGGCTGCCATCTTGGATGACATTTTAGTTGGCCCTTTGGACATGGTGATGGACGTCCTCTTGACTGACCCTTTGCATGTGATGGTGATACCATTGCAATTACAACTTCTTTGGCCCGTTGGGGGCTGTGATCCCTTCTTTCTTGGGGAACTTCTTGGCATAGGAGATGCCAAGTTGGCCAACATCCTGCATAACATCTTTATTTGGCCCATTGGGTGCTATGATGGCCACTATCTTGGTTGGCTGACATTACCAGTGCACCCTTGTGCACCATGACGGCCATCACAGCCCCTGTGTTGGCCATGTCATCACCATCTCTTTGGTGCGAGTTGAGTGAGGAATGGAGGTGAGAATATTCCTTGTTTTTTTTTTTTTTTGGGAGCCTATTCCCCCTCTCTGGTCCAGGAGAATCCAGAAAGGACTGGCTAGGGTGTGGGAAATTTCTACTGAAATCTGGTTCTTGCCTGGGAAGCGGGATACTGGCTGTGTTTGACCATTAAAGGCACTGTTTCTGCCTCTCGTGGAATGTCTCGTTTCCTTGGCTGGCGGGCCCTGTGGGGCTTGAACACCTGAATTGTCGTTTCCCTGTCCCCCAGGAGCTGGCTGCCTCTGGGGGAGGGGCTGGGGGAGGCATCGACCTGACCTTTGGCTCTTTGCTGTCCCTGACCCCAAGGACAGTTTGCTCATAGATAGCAGCCCCCGCAGCAGTGGGGCCAGGGCAGAAGGGGGAGGTGGCTCTGCAGTGACCAAGGCCATCTCCCCACCCCCACTCCCCAGACACACACCTCTCGCTCTGGGGCCCAAGGAGCCCAGGGGGCTGCTCAATTTTTGGTTAGGCTGGGGAGGAAGGGAAGGGACAAACAAAGCGTTAATTGAAGGACATGTTGTGTGGGGCTTATCCGTGTGTGTGTGGGGGGGGGTGGGCCTCTACTGGTCCTAGGATATTACTGTGCCCACTGAGGTCTCTGTGGTCTGCCTGTTGTTACCTCTGATTGTTACCTATTGTTCATATCCCTCGATTGTGTGGGTTTGCATGTCTGTTCTTACCCTGGGTGCTAACTGTAGGTGTCCTGATTTTGTGGGGTTTT